GTCAGCCCAGGGTTGCAAAGGAAGAATGAAGATCCAGTTAGGGGAAAGAAAACAGAAAAAAAACGCCAATCCCAAAAAATCTCCATTCCTGCAATCAGGATTTTTTTGCGCGTTGTCAACTGAGAACTGTACATGCGGAGAAGTACTGAAAAATTCGATTTTTTTGGGGGGGGAGGGCTAGGACGTTTTTCGGGTCCTAGGCCGCCCCCCAAAAATGCTCCCGGTATTTTTTGGCCGTTTCAGGGCCCACCGGACGCCGCCAGACGCCTCCAGCAGCTCCCTCTGCTGTTGTACTACGGTGGTAGTTCATCGGATGAGGACGAGTCCGATTCCGAATCCGAAGATGAAATGGTTGCATAGCGCCACAGAACATCAAGCGAGCGAGCGAGCGAGAGAGAGAGAGAGAGAGAGAGAGAGAGAGAGAGAGAGAGAGAGAGAGAGAGAGAGATGATTTTCGTCAGATCTGAGATCTTGTCTTGGATCAGGTCCTGGCCAGATCTCAGATCTGTTCTTATGCAGATCTGAATAACTTAACAGTTTAAATTTCAATTTTCATATGAATATGAATTAGAAAGTATAACTTCAAAGTTCGAAGTTCTGTTTCTTTCTGATTTTCGTTCTCTTTTCTCAAGTGACTTGGGATTGGTCTGTCGAGAATTTCAAGTGTTGTGTGAGCCTTTGTGAATGTCTGTGACAGTATGACGCTGTCAAGTTGTGAATAGTGAAAGACAGTAAGTACTCAGTTTCGTCCCCTTACTCGCAGCTGCCGTTGATTGTGTTCATAAAACTGACTTCATTTGTGTTCAGTACTGTTTATTACTAATGTATTATCCGCTCTTTTTTTTTTTTTTTTTTTTTTTTCCCCTTTTCGGTCCGGACATTTTTTGTGTCTGGTGTACCGGTCCGGACTGTCTGGGTCCTGTCCTGTCCGGTTGTCTAGTGCCTGTCCGGATGACCGGACGTCTGGACCGGTCCAGACAAATGTCTGGGCCTCGGTCTAGACATGTCGGGTCCGGGTCCGCGGGTGCCATGGTTATTACTCCTTTTATTTATTTTTAAAAGGAGGCCCCGTCTGTTCTCAGGGGGGCAGCAGTCCGGCGGGCCAGCAGTTGGGTTAGTCACCACCGGCAAGCATGCAACGGAGTTCAATACAGGAAGAGTAGAGCTGGGCAAGCATGAAACAGAGTTCAATACAGGAAGAGTAGAGCTACTTTGTGCAGATGCTCTACGTGCTCTTCCAGTGTCTTGCTGAACTTTTTTTTTTTTTTTTTTTTTTGAAATCAGCCCGTAGGGTTGCTAGAGGTGCTGATGAGAGCAGACACCGCTAGCACCCCGGGGAGGCTCCATTTATTGGTGGGGAGCAGCACCTGCTGGAAAACGGGTCCAGCCCCCTTATAGAAGAACGCCATTTCCATGCCACACCATTGCAGGTCAGAGCCCTCTTCATCCGAAATGGGATGCCTGGTCTACTCCTGCAAGCCTAGCCTCCGAACCACCGCAACGCCACCAGAGAAAGGTTGTGTTACTGAATGCTAGAATATCATCCAAGTAAAAGACTACAAATAGACCAAGCCAGTCCCGATCGACCAAGCCAGTCCTGATCCACTGAGCCCATCTCCCTCCATACCATCCGTGCGGCGTTGAAAGGCATTTTTTTTTTTTTTTTTAATAAACCTGCCACTACCTTTCTCCGTGTTGGGAAAAATGGGAATTTACTAATGTAGCCTACTCCGAAAAGTTCGGAGGTCCCGCGGAGGCTCGGCCTCCAGAGGCCCATGTGGGCCCACTCTTGAAAGAAAAAAAAGAGGAAAAGGAAATGTATCGAGATCACTGACGTCGGGTAACGCTCTCCACGATGTCATACTCACACTGGTACTTCCCGGAATGAATCTTACCAGTATAAGGGAAAAATCCTTGTTGCTGTTGTTGTTTTTTTCTATTTTCTTTGTGCCCTGCCAGCGAGGCAGGGCGTATTCAATGTCCTGACAGGGAGCGCTGTGTGCGGAGGGCATATTGAAACCTAAACTTCCCCGGATGAATCTGACCAGAATAAGGGTTTCCTCACTGTTTCTTTTTTTGGTTCCTTTTCTTGGTTTTCTTTGCGCCCTGCCTCCTGTTCCACGTTCTGTCACGGGGCGCCGTGTGCTGAAGGGATACTCACACTTTGGTAGTACTTCCTGAAATGTATGGAGACGTGTGTCTCGGCCAAAGCTTTTTTTTTGTTTCTATTTCTTGTTCTTCCTTTTTTTTTCACGAGTACCAAGAACAAAACGAAACCGAACCTTCCCCATGCCAGGCTCGGCAAAAATCGGTGCGCAGGGTAATTCAGGGGCGGCAAAAGTCGGTGCGCAGGGAAATTCAGGGGCGGCAAAAGGAGGATCGGAGGTAGTGGTGGTTTAAATGCACCCTCTGGCTGTGCTGTTGGGGGTGATACGAGCATCCCTGATAGCACTCCTTTGGGTGGCTCCTGTCTATTGGTGGGGAGCATCACCTGCTGGAAAACGGGTCCAGTGTCCCAGATAGTTACAAAAATAACAGAATACCGGGGCCATCACCCGGCTTTGGCTGCAGATGTTTGTCTGAGATCTAAGATATTTGTAAGCCTAGTTTAGGGGGCGCGTGGCAGATCTGCCACGATGCCTGCCAACAAACGATTGGTTGATCGACCACTCTTCGCTGGAACAGAAGGGCATGGCCCTCCCCTGGCGCAAGGCCTGTCAGGAAAACCACCGCCACTGCAAACACAGAGAAACAATCGAACATATATTCCTATAATGCCTGGGAGCAATGCTCGCCTGGCGCTGATGGGAGTGGAAAGCCCTCCTCCTGGGCACCTGGCACCCCACACAGTCAACGACCTTTACAGAAAATCTCGTCCACTTGGGAAGAAAAATGATACTGTAGACACTATTATGATGGCAGAGATGTATGCACGATTTAGAGCACTTCCGAGTCGATGGGCCAGAGGGGACGGACATGATATGACAATTCATTCAAAGAGAGTTACAAGCCCAATGGGCACATACTAAATCCAAGATGGGACATTTCACGCAATATAAAGACACCCAAAAGAGCATCCAACAATTCTCTAAAGACTGGCTGGGGGGAAGAACAAAGGGGATGGATGGCACACGTGAGCTGGCCAGGAGGAGAACGGGAAGAAAGGGAGAAGGAGAGGAGGGTTTTAGAAGAAAAGATTACACCCTTATCTTTCATGATTGGACCCGGATCAACCCCACGATCCAACTGAAACCCCCCACCGATTTTTTAGATCTGTCCCCCCCTTCCAGCAGAAGCAATCGGAGATCTACAATGGTATGGCATGGCAGGGTAACTAGGGTTCAGGGTTTAAGGGAAGACAGGAAGAGGCCCAAGATTTAGAGGAGTAACTTGCCTCAGATCAGGGGTAATGCTCCAGGGAGGGTCAGAGGTAGATAGACAGCGTCCCGTGAGGAGGCCAAGATCGATAGGAAGAGAAGCCAAGATGCAGACAGAGGCTAGGAGGTGAGGCAATGTGGTTCTGTAGATCTTGAGCCCAGGGAGGTGTCTGGTCACAGATAAAAATAGGCAGGAGTCAATCTTCTGAGAAATATTCATGTGAGCTCAATCCGAGTACTGCAAGTAATCGGAAGGGGAGTAGCTAGCATATTAATGGGCAGTCCTGGCGGCCTACTGTAAGCTCAAGAGACTCCCCCAGCATGTTTCAGCTGATGTGATACAGTTCGGTTCGTGAATCTTATCTTGTAAAGGGACGCTGGACTCGATTTAGAGCAGGTGCAGCTCCCCACCAATAGATCGAGCCTCTCCGGAATAGCTAGAGGTGACTTCTCCTGTCAGCACCTCCAGCTACCCCCCGGGCTGTTAAACAAAAAAAAGTAAAAAAGTTTAGGTGGTGCGGGCCGCTATGGGTACTCCAGGAGGCACTGGGGCACCATCTGCCCTCACCACCTGCAGGCTCAGCTCGCGTACCCTCGGCTGTTGACCAACGACAGGGCATGAGGTGGAAAAAGGTCTGGGAATTCTGTTGCTGGGCGCAGGGGGAAGCTCTGGTCTTCCCCCTCAAGAAAGGCAAGCGAGTCTGGCCAAAAGGGTGCAGGCTTAGGATATAATGAAGAGGAGGAAGTAGATTAATTAAACCACCAGTACTTCCGGAAGTTGCAGCGTGCATGCAGCCAGCCATTGATACAGTGCTAAAACGATTCCACTTGAATGAATTTATTCCAGCGCCCCAGGGCCGTTCATACCAGCAGGTCGTGGCGCACATGCGGCCGCGACATTCGTAAGTACTGGTGGTTTCCCTTTTTCGATTTCGAGGAATGTCCCTATGAGAACGCTAGAACCACGATCTGGTGCGTGATCTGTACTGGGATGTGAAAACGTCTAAAATTTTCTAAATACACTCTCTAAACATGAAAATAATCCCTGTTTTTCTTCCTTAGGGAGGGAGAGGAGGGGGGACTTCCATGCCTGGGGGGTCTGAAAAGTTTGCAATTCCCCTCGGAATTACAAACTCTCAAGACCCCAGGCACGGACCCCCCCCCCCCCCCCCCCCCCCCCCCCCCCCCAAATGGAAAACAAAGGCATTTTTCAGAAAATTTTCCACATTTCTGAATTATATATATTATGTCCGCAGTTTTCCGAACTATTACTGTGAAGCTGTGTGTAAACCGGAACCCATAAATGGAGGGAAGGGTTGAACCGTTGAACATTTTGAAACAGTGCTTCTGCGCCTTTTTCTGCTGACAGGGATTTGCAAGCAAGTAGAACTTCAACAAACTTTCAGAGGATCCTAGACATGGAAATCGCCCTCCCCCTCCCTAAAGGAAAACGTTACATTGCATTTTAATAGACTTTGCCGTAAACTTGTGCTTAAGGTTGTAAACCAGATACGTGATTTGATAATGGGAAAGGGTTCAACATTTCAAAAATGCGTTACGTCGTTTTCCTGCTGACAGTCTGGCTGTTTCTTGTGCCATTTTCGGCCTGGACATCTCCGACAGAGAGCGGAGCTGAAGATGAATCTCTGCCACTCAAATCATCCTTGTTCGCGCGTGATGTCATCAAGATGTCTCTCTCGCTACGTCCGTCTTCTCCAGCGATCTTCAACCTTCCACCACCAGAACCGAAGTGGCGGATGCCAAACATTTGGATTACAAAGGTATTTTGAAAATTTCCCCCTTCAAAGATTGTCCTCTCAGGTGAAACGGTTTCACCCAGTTGAGACGACATTTGCAGACACTAAGATTCGATCCCTAGACCTATGCCTGAGCCCTGTAGATTGACTCTGTGTGCTGAGTGAGATTCGATCCCTAGACCTATGCATGTGCCCTGTACAATCACCCGGTGACTGTGAGAGATTCGAACCCTCGACCTGTCCTGTGTCATAGGTTAGGCTGTAGGAAGGGAAGTTGGGCTCGATCCCTAGGTCTGTAGGTTAGTACTTAAGTCTGTTGTTACCATTAGCTTAGGAAGGTCTGTTCTAGAAGTCTCTACTTACCTCTTCGTAGCCTAAGAGTCAGTCGGTAGGTAACAGTCCGTAGGCTTTAGGTTCCAGAAGAGTCTGTCCGGAAGAGTCTCTCTGAGTCAGCAAGTACCAGGGCTGCACGTGGCGGAAGGATCTGGCCATGCGGTATACAGAAGCCTCCAGAAACGCGTCTTGGGGGCCACACGTTTTGGCTCAGAGGGCCCCACACGTTTTGGGTCTACCAGACCTACACGGCCTGGAAGATTCTAGGCCCAGGCCCCATGCGTTTTGGCCCAAGGCCATGCGTTTTGGGACAGGGCCCGGCCACCTCCGAAGCAGTATAAATAAAGAGGCAGAGTCCAGCCATCATTCATTTGCCTGTGAGCCATGCGGAAGTGCTGCCTTGGTGACCTGTGCGTGGAGGTCTGCAGGTACCCGGAGCCGAAGTGGGAAGTGAGGAAGACAACGGCCATAGCTGGCCAGGAGGAAGACGACAGCGGCCATAGCCGCCCAGCTGTTGTCTCGGACAGAGTGTACAGAGTGTGTGTGTTTGTGTAGCGTGGACATTCAGGGTAGATCCTCGTACATGTGTGCATGAGGGAGAGTGAGGCTGGTGGTGAAGACAGTGTTCGGCGGCCATAGCCGCAGGTTGTACAGTTGACTTGAACAGAGTTTAAGTGCAAGTTCGTTGTTGATTCTGAGTGAAGAGTTTGGTTTTGCCATCAGTCCTGTGTACGCATGTTGAAAGCAAGTTTGGAGTGCAGTCTGATTTCACAGGTTATGAAGTCGTGGAATCCCGAATTGCCCTGCAGATACTTGTTGTCATAAGTAATCATGGTGTTATTGATGACAGACCATTAGTTAATTAGAGCTGGCGCTCGGCTTCTTTCAAAGTTTAAACTCTTCTCATACAGTGCAATGAAAGTAGTTCGCATTATTGGAATATATGAAGTGGTAAACTTATGAACTTTTAATAAATTCTGCATTATTATTGTAAAATACAAAGTCTTTTTTTCTTTTCTTTTCTTAAATAACCTCACGAGACCCCTCCCTTCCACCTCTTGATGTTTTTTCCTGGCGCACCCCCACTTCCCTCCATCCTATCTCGCTCGAGGACTATCACTCTCTATAGGAGCAACCTGACCGGACAGCAGTCGCGGGCACCAGCGCTGAACGGAAACCCCTTCCAGCCCTGGTCGATGCACTATCACTCGAGCCTCGTCATACGGGTACCACACGAGCTAGGTGGGTGAACGGGAACACATCTATTAGTACCAGCCTCGTGGGTTCGAGCTACCCCTAGTCAATATTAAGTATTTGGCGGTTAGTTGCCTGAACAGTCGACGCACCTGCGTTTAGGCTGATGATGAATGAGTCGAAGAATTGAAACCCAGCCCACTGTGGGTGGCAGAACGGTAGACGCATGTGAAAAAAAGTGTTCATAGACCAATCACGAGCTCGGATCCGGAATTGGATGGATGGTAATAATGTTAGAGAATGACTAACCCCTTTTGGGTAAAAAAAGAACCAGTTCAATGTGAAGGGTTGTCTAATTCCCAAAGAATAGATGCATTTTCTGTCAAAGAAAGAGTCCAGAGATGTCACGTCACTGACTTTTAACCTCTTCCCCCCCTTCCTCCCTCCCTTCCTCCCCCCTCGCTCCACTCTTCTGACAAAAAAGGAAATGAGTTCACTGCGAAGGATTGTCTATTTTCCAGAGAACAGACACATGATCTGTCATCAAAGGAGTGAACCAGAGATGCCAGATCACTCTGCCCTTTGCTCCCTAATAGTCCCCACAAGGATGAACTGTCAGGCCCCACTGGTGCCAGGTGTACACCGAACATCCACTTATTATGGCCATGTTGATGCTTTGACGCACAATGAACACCTGCTTACTATGTTCATGTGTGCATTGAGTGCGGGCGGGGTGAGGGAAGGGGAGAGGGGTGGGAAGGGAAGGGCAAAAGAACAGGTAATGCCTTATCCCCCGAAATGTAATGTACTACTGGGGGCTCTTGTCTGGGCCCCATCCTGATTGAAAATGTCCTGTAATTTAATTTTGCTGCGATACTCGGCCACGACTAAGTGTCTTGATTCTGGATGCAGAAATTTCTGGCTTCTGCAGAAAGATTCGTTCATTCATTCATTAACCAGTGGTTGAAACTTGGAATAGAAAACGTGACAGATTACTTGACAGTGCTGGCACCTTGTTGGATCCTAGATGTGTATAAGAGACAGGCCCCATCCTGATTGAAAATGTCCTGTAATTTAATTTTGCTGCGATACTCGGCCACGACTAAGTGTCTTGATTCTGGATGCAGAAATTTCTGGCTTCTGCAGAAAGATTCGTTCATTCATTCATTAACCAGTGGTTGAAACTTGGAATAGAAAACGTGACAGATTACTTGACAGTGCTGGCACCTTGTTGGATCTAGTCAAAAGTTTGACCTGTATCCCGAAGGAGCAGGAATCCGGCTTCATTCCCCCTTTTTGGTTTTTCCCAAGGTAACAAGGTTTGTTTATTGCAACTTATCTGCCACCGATAGTTGATAGACCGCCCAAAAAGTCAGCGGCTATCTTTCTCTGTCTATCACATGCATACGTGCAGTGCACTCAGTAGACATCACCTGACTTAACCAGGCACAAGCTAACAAGCATGTGCACAGCCCTGAGGTGGAGCTGGAAATCATATGTGCGATCATGAATCCACGATTGCAATATAGTGTGTGTGTGTGTGTGTGTGTGTGTGTGTGTGTGTGTGTGTGTGTGTGTGTGTGTGTGTGTGTGTGTGTTGTCAGAAACCCCAAACTCTCTCTTTTCTCATTCCAGCCACAAACCATCACAGACCATCCATAAAACAAAAAAAAAGTATAGGTGGGCAATATAATAGAAGATGCAAGGTTCTCCACATTTGTGTGGTTGAGCGGGAAGTTCCCACACACCCATCTGCCGCCAAAGCGGCACACTCGCACAAATAGCATATATATTTTTCAATCTATAAGAAAAAAAAATAGAGGGAGCTTCAAGTGCCCACTCACCTGTCTGCAGCCGAAGTGTACAACTCCAGACTGCTCCACAGAATCACATACCAGGCACAGATCCAAACATACGGGCTCTACCAAAACAGCACCGACCAAGCCCCCATTGGTCCAAGAACAATTAGGAGAGCCCTTTGAGTCGGCCCACAAAACCACAAAAGAACTCCACAGAATCTCCATGCGACACCAGGAGCACTACTGCTGAAACCGCCACTCTACCCGACGGGCGAAAATGGCATTCCGGTGAGTTAGGCCGTAAAGGGCGGGAGGGTGGTGACCGTTTAGAGATCTTTTGAGGAGGCACCCGTTTTGTTAGTGCCCAGTGGTTCCGTGGCTTCGATTGGAGGCAGGGGGCGGAAGTCTCCGGCGGTTCAGTTGCCTTCCGGGGGAAACTGGAAGGCGGCGCGGGCGGGCCCTGGTTTCACGCAAACTTTGTAAGAAAACAAAAAAGAAAACAGGCCTCGCTCCAGTGCTCCCTGCATACACAAAATGGCCTCTAAAAGGGCCTTTACGAATTAGACCCCGGATGAACACCCCAACAGTGAGGGGCCCTGTCGGCCAGAACTTAAATTCATGAGCAGCAACTCAAAAGACAAAGTTCCCTGAGGCATATGTCGCATCCATAATGAAATGAAAAGTCGTTTCGAACAGTCACAAACAGGTCCTGCACGAACAGGTATCGGACACAGTTTTCAAGACTGAGTTAGGGTCATGTCTCCTCGATGAAAAGTCATGTCTGTTCGGCAATAAGTCAAAGGCTACAGTCCCAGTTCAGTCATACTCCCACGAGAGCAGTCCTGATTCAGACCAGGAGTCCAAAAGACAGGACGATGGCCCAAAGCAGCAGCAGACCATGGGAAAAGATACTGGGACACACACTTTGCAACAATGGGTACTGGGCAGGAGTCGCTGGGACACTTGAGNGACAAAGTTCCCTGAGGCATATGTCGCATCCATAATGAAATGAAAAGTCGTTTCGAACAGTCACAAACAGGTCCTGCACGAACAGGTATCGGACACAGTTTTCAAGACTGAGTTAGGGTCATGTCTCCTCGATGAAAAGTCATGTCTGTTCGGCAATAAGTCAAAGGCTACAGTCCCAGTTCAGTCATAATCCCACGAATCAGTCCTGATTCAGACCAGGAGTCCAAAAGACAGGCCCAATGGCCCAAAGCAGCAGCAGACCATGGGAAAGATACTGGGACACACACTTTGCAACAACGGGTACTGGGCAGGAGTCCCAGACACTTGAGGCTGAATGCAGGCCACGCCAGGCCAGTCCAGCACTATAAAGGACTGGCCAGCCTCCCAATTTGGACAGATGCTCACTTCGCATGAGAGTGTGGAAGTGCTGTGGCACTTGTGCGCTAGATGTGTGTGAGCTGCGCTAGGCTGAAGAGCAGCGCTATGTGGGAAGGAAGAGAGTGCTGGCTAGAGGGAAGGCAGCCATAGCTGCACCAGCGCTACCGTCTTCCCCCGAACATAACGCACCCTGGAAAGGAAAGTATACAAGGTATGTTTCCGGCCAGATACAGCCAGAATGAGGGTGCGTTCTGTTCGGGGGAAGACGGTAGTTAGTATGTTAGTAGGGATAGTCAGTAGGAGATACCAGTGAGTAGTATTCAGAGTAGATCCTTGTGTGATACGGAGTGT